CGTATATGTGAATTGTGAACTCCAATCAACCTTTGAAATCTTCAATTACAGTTTACTTCCCAATCATTCAGATTTCTCAGAAAGACACCACTTCAACTAAGCAATGTTTCGTCTATATCCATACAATTATGTTATGATACATCCTTGCTAGCCACCTAAGTTAACAAACCTGGAAAGAATCCTTAAGAGCATCTCCATGCCACTGGCCATACCAAAACATTCTCGTTTCGCTTCCCCCTCCTTTAAAACTGAGAACTGAGAGAAACACTTTACCTGTTTCTACTATCTTTGCATAAATCCCACCCATAATAGCATCAAATAGGATAAGTAGTCCCAATAGATGAAGGTTGAGAAGCTCATATGGGAATTGTTATGGCAAGGCCAAGGAGAGGGGAAATAAGTGCAGTTGGTGAAGTGGGAGTTAGTGGAAAAATCTAGGGGTAAAGTAGGTTTACTGGAATACCTGCAGTTTCTTGACACTGATGAAAAAAAACAAGCAGAGAGTTATAGAAAGTTGACTAATAAGGAAAAAGGAATAAGAGGAGAAATTGTTAGCGAGTAGTATTATGTTCCACTGTTGATGTGTTCTTGTATGTTAATTTTGTGGTATGTCGCTTATTTTTAAGTCTTATGTCTGTCTGATGACATGAATTTTTTATATTATGATTTAAAGATCATATCTTATTTTACATGTTATTTATGAATAGTTCATTTTCTTTTCCAGGGAATATATGGTTATCCTATTGAAATACAAGCTCTTTTCTTTATGGCATTGAGATGTGCTTTGGCATTGCTGAAACCTGATGCAGAAGGAAAAGAATTTATAGAGAGAATTGTGAAGCGTTTACATGCCTTAAGTTACCACATGCGAGGTTACTTCTGGCTTGATTTTCAACAACTAAATGACATATACCGTTACAAGACTGAAGAGTACTCGCACACTGCGGTAAATAAGTTCAATGTCATTCCTGATTCCATCCCAGATTGGGTTTTTGATTTCATGCCATGCCGTGGTGGTTACTTTATTGGCAATGTCAGTCCTGCAAGAATGGATTTCCGATGGTTTGCTTTAGGTAACTGTGTTGCAATTCTATCTTCTCTTGCAACCCCAGAGCAATCAGTGGCTATAATGGATCTTATTGAATCTCGCTGGGAAGAGTTGGTGGGAGAAATGCCATTAAAAATATGTTATCCAGCAATAGAAAGCCATGAGTGGCGAATCGTAA